GAGAGCGCATGTACTTCGTTGCGGGCCTTGGCTTGGGAGGTCAGAGGCCACCCACGCACGTAAGAAGCTCAGACGCTCTGCAAGTCACTGTCACAAAGGAGAAGGAAAATAATTGCAAGAAATACGGGAACCAATTCGTTCTTGTCAAATGTTGCAACTGGAAGGCTCGTGGAGCTACTGGCTGAAGCCACTCCCAGGAACTCGCAACAGAGAAAATAAATCTCCGATCGACCGATTGCGCGAATAACTTCTCAGATCGGAGGAAAACTACGAACCCACGTGCTTATCCATCGATTATCCATTAATCATTTACCAGACGAAGACGACTGTCCTCTGGCAGACGTTTACCGACGTTCCAGGGACACTTACTGCCTCCATCATCAGGGCGAGGACGCAAGTACCTCTGAAACGTCGCGCCTTGTAAGATAGAAAAGTGACGGGGGTGGACAGCAAACTGCCCGAAACGACCCCGGGGACAGATTCGAGATCGTGCGACAGGAGGTCGTGAGTGACCGGTGGCGAAGATGAGGTTAAGTTAGTGACCACGCGGTTGGGAGAAGAGGTGAAGCTGCTTCCAAACACTGAAGATGGCAGCTGCAATGTTTGACGAAACGCACAGAAGTCCTCAAGTTGCCAATTGTCCGGACAGCCGCAGGTCTTCAGGTTTATTTCAAATCGCTACAATGATTTTAAACGACTTAAAATTACTAATGAATCTGATTCGAGCGCTTTCAAAATAAGGAAAGAAATCGTTCTGGTGAGCTACCGAAAATGTGAAATACACTATACAAATATTTAAGGGGTGGGGGAGAAAATGTCCCCTTCCGGCCCAGGTGAGCCGAAGTTGCACATTAAATTCCAGCAGTGAAAAGGCAAGGACGTGAAGGCTCATTTCGCCGGGGGCCACAGAGTCAGAGGTTATAAATTATGAAAGTTGTAACGAGTTTACAAGGGACCTCCAGCTGTAACGGGCATTAAGCAGCGACACTGCGTGTGTGTTTACTGCAACTGCGAAGCACAACGCGTGTTCGAACGCCTTCCTTATCTTACGGATCGCCTGTTTAATGGTGACTTTTCGTACCTTTCCCGATCCATCAGTCAAGGAGCTGTAATATTGTCCTTTCAGTCTGGTTAAATGATGAAGTGAGACGCAGAACGCAAACTGTCATGCCCCGGAGGCAAAAACAACGCCGTATTTTATGCAACCCGGTTGTCACGCAAGACGTGGTGAGCGACAGCTCGGCGCCTGGTCGTCTCTTGAGCACCTGCTGGAAACAATCAATTTTGATTACACGCTGCTGAACGACAATGCGATACGCGTTATTGTCTTGTCTGTCTTTCGATTTGCCCGCTCTTCAAGGGCGGTGAGCGATGTCGTCACACCCGCGGTCCTACTCCAGCGGCTTCAGACCGGAGGAGAGCGCGGATTTACAATTCCCGTGTCTTAACACCTTTACCTCGCCGATGGGTTCTGGGCAGGATTTCGGACGTTATGGACACACGACCTCCAGGCTTCTGGGCGGGCGGGCACCTGCTTCTCCTCGCCCACAACCTTCCCCGGTGGCGAGTCTAAATTTACTTAAAATTCGCACCATTTTCAAGGACAACGGATTCACTCAATGCCACTTAACTTACACAGCAGAGAATTTATAACATACCTAATTACCACAAAAACAATTAAACAGAAATTGCAGATTTTTTGTACATCGCCGTCTTCCAAGATTGAACACCGTGTACGTTACACCAACCAGAAACCCGACCAAGAAGCCCACACGAAACCAACTCCTTACTAAATTCCCAGATCATGTCGCAATCAACTACGATGAAGACACGTGACGTCACGTCAGCTCACTTCGAAGAAATGTCCTGACGACAGTTTATTTTTGGTTTATCTAATTAAGCCATCACGAGCTCAGACTAGTTCAGCACCAAATTAATGAATTGCAAGGGACATGGAAGGAAACGTTCGTGGCCACGTTGAATGCACTACAATTGCATTTTTCTGGAGGGCGTGAGGAAAAGCACGAAAAGCTTCAGCCTACAGTCTGAGAGTCGAATCCAGGACCACCCCGATAACGAAGCCCGAATTTTAACCACTCGGCTGCGTCATTTGCCGAACCAAATTGCCTTCCGCCACGCATTGATTGCATTTGCGATGATATCAGCTCCGCACACACACACACACCCAGACAGAACATCAGCGCCATCACGGATCTACGTCCTTATAATTGAACTTCCACTCTAACTGCTTCGTTATTGGTCGAAAATATTTAATGATCCCTTGTTCCGCATTTTAATAACGCGATACCAGGAAATTAAATGGTGGTCGAAATTATTCGTTTAAGTAAAAGTGGAGGTTTTTATGTCAGTTCAACGCGTGGAGTTTGTTGCCTTGGATCGGAAAGGAGACTGGAATTTTTTTTTGTCGAGCGCAGGGAAAGCAAATTTCAAGGAAATCTCCGGCCAGACCGCGCGAAGTACTCGCGGCTTCCTCAGTGGGAGACCAACGCGTTCCTCAAACCGGAGTAAGCAGGGCTGAAGAGACAGGAGGTCATCGTAAGAGCAGACTGATATCTGCTCTGGGCACGTGGATCAAATGGGAGAAACAATGGACATTTATCGACGTTTGTTTGTCCTGGGTCATGCCACCTTCACCGCCGTTGCTACCCTTCACACGCATTTTTAGTGTTTGTGGCTTTGGAGGCGGACAGAAGCTGAGACGAAGTATGAGAACGGCGTCCGTCCGTATGCCAGTTACGTGCTTCCGGGCCAGCGGACTCACGGACCGTCACTGGTAATTTGGCAGGCAAGTAATTAGTTTCCAGCTCTGGAGTGGAGATTAACCCCCCAAAATTATGTAATGGGACAGCGCTTCAGGTTAAACAGTCAGCGAAAGATATAACAGAAGCCACTATCCTCACGACACGTTCAAAAGGAGAAACTGCATCCATTTTCAGAAATATTTTCTTGTGTTAAGAATCGGCATTGCAAATTGTAAATACAAATTCTTATTTAAGCAGATCGTTCTCGCTCTGCTGATTGCATTACTTAATTCCATAAACGAAACCACGGCATAAACATTCAATTCCTCTTGCGAGCTATTTAACAACTTTCAAGAGATCGAACTCGCACACCGGCTCCTGTCCACAATCTTTCCCAGGTTTCAGAGTCGCTGGACCAGAAGATAAACAGAACGTGTGCCCCAGTTTCGCGCGGACACGTCTCTCGATTCAGGCGCGCAATTCTTCCGACGAAAACTGTTCGTAAGATGAAAATTCGCAAATCGGAAACGAAACTCTATATTCCTTGATTATAAAGAATCCATTACAAGATATCAATAAAAATAATTCGTAAACCGTGAATCAGGTACAAATTCACATGAATCGGTGCAGGGAACTTCCAGTCTGCGGCTGTGACGACGACTATGGTGGACCCACAGACACAGCAAACGTAACGAGGTGCGTCATCCTTCATGTGCAATGAGCATAAACAAACAAACAAACAAACAAACAAACAAACCATGTTCCTCATCGCCAGATTCGGAATGTCCCGCCGTCGTGAGAAGACTGGAAGTCCGACAGCGCCTGGTGCCCAGAATTTCCAATCTCAACATTCTGAATCCTCTTTGCTGAAAAGAACACACACACACGGACGGACGTACTACATGCGCGCGCATGCGTACACTGAGCAAACGCAGCACTAGACAGACAGACACACACAAGCGCATCTCAGCAAAATTGTGTTGCGTTGTTTTTCTTCTAAACCGTATTACGTATGTCACAAGCGTTCCTAGTGTCCGTCCCACCTCACAAGTTTGCTTTTCCGCCATGCTGATGTTACCGAAAACTAAAATGGCACAACATCCGTGCAGAATTTCATCCAAATCCGTCCACTTTACTGGTGCTGACGGGCGGACAGACAGATACTGCGTTAATTCCGCGTACCTCGTGCCGGATTTCAGCTGGAGGTCTGTACTCGTATCAACGTGCGCGCATGAACCAAGTATTCGCATTTGAATGTTCTGCACGGAATACCACAAGCTGGTGAGGGCGCATTTCCTACGAGACCGAATTTCAACAAAGACTGGCTCTGTAATTAGAGCCAAGACGACCTCCACTGAGCCGACCGGTGGATCGTACTGCAGTCCGACGGGTGATGACGGCCGCACACCCAGGAGACAGCAGTTCGAATCTCCACTGCTACATCATTCCCGGTTGCTGAACGAAAGCGTTGTGGCGCCGCGACAAAGCGGGCTGTTTTGCCGACGTTTCGGAGAAACCTTCCCACCCTCTGTCTCTGACACGGGGACATCACGCAAAACCAGGATTGACATCAGAATTAGACCCGCGCAAGAGCTTAAATAAAAACTGGTGACAAACGCTAACAGAGAAGTAATGCAGACAACACAGTTTTCATGAAAAGGCCAATTGTTTTAACATATATTAAGAATGTGCTTACCGGTTCGTATGGTTCTTGAAGATTTTTTATACGGAATATAAAGCAATTTTCTCCAGCTCCGTTCTGGAATTAATAAGAGAAAATAACTCGACGTGAAGAGAATTATATTCCTGTACGTCTGGTTGCATACTTAAGGCATTGGAGGAGGGCAGGACCTGCAGGAGACGGAGACTTCGCAGAGGAGGAGTGTTAGGAAAATGTGTTTCAGCTCAATGGAACCGTAACTCCTTACAAAAGCTGAGTGGAGACTAAAGTACACAATTTTAATATTAAATCGCTTCCGATAAATGAGTAGAACGATAAAAAGACATCAGTTCAAAAATAAAACATGTCAACGCCATGAACAGCAAGAAATATTGTCCCAACATTCCTGTAAAATCGAATTACAGATTCGAAATGTAATGCGGTTTAATTCAAGTTTTGCTTCGTTATTAATTTAAAGCAGATATTTTACTAAATGTTCATACAATACCTCGTTATTTCCCATGCCTCCGCGTTTCTTCATAGAACATGGCACAGCCATAATTTATTGAAACATGCACAGAGTATAAGTGATTCTGATCAATAATCCTTAGGTATTAAAAACTTCAGGCCCACGGACGTAAAATATTTTGTAAACTGCCGATTTATGAATTTGTCATCCGACGCGAATTTGACTTTACGCAGCAAACATGTTAGACATTTACGAAAGATCTCTTTGACTTTACGCAGCAAACATGTTAGAAATTTACGAATGATCTTCCAGATCAAAGCATCGAACTTGCATCTTAACTTTACGTCAATAAATTCACAACTGGAAAATTCTAGTGCCAATACCAGGTCCTTGCTAGTTGTTCAACTGCGTTCTTTGTTTCTTTCAAATTCAAACGCGCATTTCTTTAAATTACGTTATTTAAAGAGACTCGTAATATAATAAACTGCACGCTTTCCTGCATTACGTTCTCGGTGGGCCACACAAATGTCCAATGAACGCATAAAAGTTCAGTGATTCCGGTTCCTAGAAACCACAAACAACTTCACAATGTCAATTTAAGGACTAATTATAGTAATCCGTATTCATAAGTGATTATGATGGCTACTGGATTAAAAAGTATTAATTTCAACAATTCCAAAGACGACGGTACAAAACATTTCTTAACACCTGCGAGCTTTTAATTTTGAATTATCTACACTTGATTTTTATTAAGTTGTTTTGAGATTTCCAATAAATTAAAGCCAGTTCTGTTTTTTTCTCTCATTTGCCCACAACTGCAATATTAAACGCACTGTCAAAAATTCATTTATAACACAATTTTCTAAAACTTCAGTTGCCAATAACGTATTGGTTCCAGCGTTTGCAAAGACGGAAAATCCCAGTTCTTAAGTCGCGATGTGCGTCTTTCAAAATAGCATCAGATAATATTGAGTCAGTTTAAGCTTCTGTGCGACCATCATGTTGTCGCATGTGAAATTCTAATCAGCAGAGAAGTACTATATAAGTGAGTCCTTGGAACAAAGCACTTCTCGAGAACGTATCCAGAACTTAGTCGCCTTTTACGGAACGTGGAAGTTCATTATCACGTTTGCATGAGCCTGCCACGGGTCCTTATTCTAAACTAAATTAAACCAGTCCACACCCTTCCACCTTGTTTCCATCGCATCCATTTTAATATTATACCTCCATCTACACTTAGGTCTTCCGAGTGTTCCCTTCCCAACAGGCTTATGAATCAGGATGTTTCACTCATTGCTCACGTCCCCATGCGTGCTACACGCTCCCCTTGTCCCATGATTTCAGTGAACTCTCAGAGACAGTAATTTACAAGGAAAAGAGATCTAGTTGCATGATCACGAAGTCTCGCGATCCGCAAACGCACATCAATTATTGCCCTGACGCTTTTAAGAAACACTTGGGCGGTGGCGGAAATCCGAAGAATCCGAACATTAGTCTTTCCTGATCGACAAGCCGTGTCCCGAAACAGCTGATTCAAAACGATGGGCATTAATCACGTCCACTGAGAAATGGAGACACGTTTCTGGCTGGACGAAAGCGAATCACAGGCGACGTACGAGGTTCTTATTCACCGCGTGAACTGCGTTCTCACCTTTCGACTACGGAGTAATCGACTGTACGTATATTTCTGTCGTTACTGGAATTTAACACGCGGCAATTACTGTATAAGAGAATTACAGCATCCGTCCGTATGTAGAAATCATGACAGCCAATTTATGAAATGGAAAAGTCCTCTTCTAAACCCTTCCACAATTACACTACCTAGTGCTCACTTAACACAACAGTTGTGACTGGATAAAATTCAGATAAAATTCGTCGGACTGTAATGTCGCCTCGGGATAATTCTAAAGGCGGTAAGAACGTTGTTTTAATTGTCTTGTTATATAATGTCAAAATATGAAGTATTTAAACCGGCGTTTGAGAGTATGTTAGGAAAACTTAATTAGCAACAACGAAGTTGTGTTGTGAATCTCGATTTAACAAAAGCAGACGCTCGAGAATTTTACACAAAGGCATCTGTAAACAGACATTCGTATTTAATAAGACAGAACTACATGAGTAATCACTTCGAAGTGTTGCCAACCCGGCTACTTCAAAAGACGCTCAATATTAAGGTACGGTCTGTTGAATCGAGTGAAAAGAAGGAACGTAGTTTGCAAGTTTTCCGAAGGGTCACAAGTAATTTGTCGCTTTAAGATTCACGCACAAAGTGAATCGATGGATAATGAACGGCGAAGGATTTGTGGTGGGGGAGTTACGAGATGAATGGAAACTCCGGAGATCGGAAAGGATTCGGATTATTCGGAGAACAAGCAGCAAACACGGGAGACGGACGCAAATGTCACGGGCCCGCGAAAAGACACGTCCGACGGGATGTCCCTCTATCGCAGCTACGACCAGCGACCCCATTAGACGCAAAGAAACGTCGCATAATTTAGTCGTGATTTTGAACAGTTAAACGAAGAATGTCAAATTCATAAACACCATTTCACATTCGTACACTTTCTAACCTGTAACACAAATATTGCATCGGTGATATGTGTGGACGTGTAATTTAAGTATCCACGGCTAAAGACAGCAGCGCGCGCACAGTTTCTTACTCAGCTGGCTGTCTTCTGGGTCCTTGCTGCCACCATCATCAGGGCGATGAGTCCTGTTAACGGAGGCGGCAAGGACCTCTGAAACGTCGGTAAACTTCTACCAGACTGCACGGCGCAACAGCCCAGAAGACAGCCATCTTCGGACTCGCGGCCGCGAAAACCTCGAATGCTACTTAAATTTCTACATTACGGAATCCCAGAACATAAAAGGTCTAATACGAGATTTTTAACTGCTTAAGTAGGAACAGCAAAGCCAAAATTGCAACGCGGTGGATGTACCTGCCGCCTGCCTTAATACTCGTCAACGGCGTGCTGTTCCCACAGAGCGTCATCTGTGGGCCGTGCGTGGTTCACAGAGAGAACAGCGTCGACACTCTGACGTCTACAACGAAGACGCCTTCAGATTTCCTTCAGGTACGAACTGAATGTCTAAATATTCTGATTTACTTTAACGAGTTTACCTAAAATCGACTGTTTCACTCAAATTTTAAAGATTAAAAGTTAATGAAGACAATTTTTTTATGGGATATTGCGCCGTGTAGTCCGGTACATGTTTCCCGACGTTTCAGATGTGCTTACTGAGCCCCGAAGATGGAGGCAGCAAACACCTCTGAAATGTCAGCAAACGTCTACCG